CATTTTCAGCTGTAATTATTTGAAGCAGTGGAACAGTACTTAGCAACCAAAAACACACGCCTCTCCACGAGGACACCCCACGCGCAAAATGAGATTAGAAAAAAAGAAAAGTTTTACTTTTTAAAAGTATAAAACGTTTACTTTACCATTTTGGGAACCCTGTTCATAGATCAGCTGCACATCCGCTAGAAATAAAAACAAGATCATTTGTCTGATGTAGATATTTAAAACGATCAATCGATACATAGCATTACTAAGCAAACATAATACATCCAACAAGTAGCTCAGCGTTAACGCCTGGGACCATCCGTGCAAGACAAAGGAGGAACGAATCCCAACAAAAAGTTTAATTTTTTAATTATAAAAACAATTATTTTACCGTCTTGTACATCAAGCAGCTGGGCGGTCACTACTAAATAAAAACAAATAAAATCATTTTCTGCTGTAAAATAATCTGCGTATAAACATCAGATAAGAGATAGAGACTTACACGTATCAATTTGGCTAAAAGCATTTCTTTCCGTGCTACCTACAAGATATTAAAAAACTATTAGTTTAAAACTATTAAAATACTTTATATCAATTGAGAGCGGTTGAAAAACGACTCATCACCTATTTACTCAGACTTTAAAAACAGAGTAGTGTGCCTGATCAATATATATATATATATATATATATATATATATATATATATATGTGTGTGTGTATATGTATATATATATATATTTGTTTTTTATTATTATTTATATTTATCATTTATATATTTTACATTAAGTATACACACAGACACAAAAACAATAAAGAATAAAAAGAATATCTTAGAAAAGAATTAAATTACAAACTAGGTGCTTATTTAGAATATTTCTGTCTGCTTTCTTTACCTTGTATCTGAGAGTGCAGGTCATTGGTGATGACCTGTAACTGACCGAGACTCATGTCCCTCAGGTCCACAGGCCTCAGATTCCTCTTCATTAGACTCTCACTGATGTGTGGCAGATGTGGTAACTATAACACAAGAACAAAGTTAAGTGAAGTTGAATGTACGGTGTTTTTTCTTATTAGCAAGCGCTCTGAGGTGAAGTGAAGGCCCTTTTGAAAACTACAGCGAGGATAACCCAGCGCAGCACTATTCTTGGACACTTGTGTGACTGACCAGGTCTGCCACGGGGGACCTGCGGTGTAGCTGAATCTGTCTCTCCACCTCCACCTGCATGCGGGCCATGGGCCGGGCCAACGCCAGAGCCACACGGGCCTCCTCCTGCAACCGCCGCTGTAACCGCCAGAATTCTGAATCCTCGGAGTCCAGCTCTTCCTCTCCTGTATCCCGGTCAGACAGAGAGGCACTCTGTTTGCTCTATAGTGAGACAGAAACAAAAACGGCTGAATTAAATCACACCATTTTTTTATCACAGTTCCAAAATGTAGAAGAACTTTGTTTAATGTATTATTAAAAGGCTAGGCTTTATACCATAGGTGACAATGGGGTGTCCAAGCTGGTCTCTGTTCTGCTGTCCTCTGCATCACTGTCCCTGTCACTGCTGCTGTCATTCACAAAGCACATCTGTAGATTCACCCCATTCTGAAGCCTATAGTGAGAGTGCAATGAAAAAATATATTAAATTAAATTATTTTCAAAATTATCCATTTGTTGTTGACCTTTTTATTTCATTGCTTTTCATTAGAATGCATTTTTCATTTAGAATGCATTTTGAGGAGTAATCTGTGTTATTTCAGGTAAAAAAAGACTTCTTTCAGTCTTAAAGCATGAATAATTTTGTAGTAAACTGTACAGTATAACTCTAAAATAAACACATGAGATAATATATACTGAAAAGAGAAAGAAAGTGTGAAAGTTCTATTTTTAGAGTTTGTGAACCACAGTTTCTCTTCAGTTGCAGTAGAATTTTGTGGTTAATAGTATTCTATGAAAACACTGGCTGTAAGCTTCAAGTGAAGCCTGTACATAGAAATGTCTTCAATGTCAGAGTTCACTTCTGTAGATTGGTATGAACCTGGTTCTGTGGTATCTCTTGTATAGATAAGGGTAAATGCTGTGGAAAATTACTCTGTGAAATATACTCTGTGGAGTGTTGTGTGGGAAAATACTGTATGCACCTAAATTTTAATGCTCATTGGACTTTCCTTTAGCTTTCTAGGAACCTTGTTGAAACGTAGTTGCGATACAAAAAAAGACACAGAAAAGCAGCAGCTACACCAACAAACATGGCCAGTCCATGGATTTGTGATGCAATAAAATGTCCTAATATAAAATGAGTGATAAATGGTAAGAGGTTTCTGTCTTTATTAAGAGAAAGAACTAAAAATAATAATTATATACAGTAACTATGCTAATAAATGTTTAGGAAAGATTCAATATAAAGAAACAAAATGAGCACTATACCAGGCATATTTATTTGTCATGTAGGTCTATTTATTTTTCATTCTTTGAGTCAGCATTCCAGACTCTGTTTAAATGTCATATTCTCTCGTTTGTTCTTTACATTCAGTTTAAAGGCAGAACAACGATGAATAAAAATAATCCTGAAAAAAAAACATAGCATTCACTTTTTGCTTGGACCACACATAGGTACACCAAGTAAATAAGTAAGTAAATATTTATTTAAACAGACGTTTTACCCGTATTTTGAATTTTGCACTTCATTGCATTGTGTTTTAGGGTTAATGGAAATGTTTATAAAACTAAGGGATAATATAAATAACTGCATAAATGACAACTACAAACACTGATCTCTCAAGGAGCGGATTCTTGCAGAAACGTTATTTTGCAGATTGATTGCTGATATTTTCACTCTCTACAACATTTTTGCCTCTCTACATCAGCACTGTCTACATTTCCTCCCCGTGTTATTCTTGAGAAAATGTGTCAAGTCGACAGACACGATTTCTTCCTTCCCAAAGTGCTCCAAACATTAAACAATAAATACAGCGGACTAAAATAGCCACAAAATAAGATTTTTTTTCTTTTTTCTGTCAAACATTTGTTTGCTCAAACAGTGGAAACAAAGTAGACTCAGATGTCAAGTGAGAAATGGGGTTGACTACTCAAGTTAACATGAATTATATGCTGAAAACAAATTATATATTTGGTATGCAATGATTAAAATGAGATAATTCTGAGCCCTCAATATGCCTCATGGCATTTTTATTTTATCAGTTTGGCATAATTAAGATTTTTAATGTTGTTGAAAAACAACTGCATTCATTTAATCAAAAATACTGTAAAAACAGTAATATTATGAAAAAATATTATTACAATTTAACCTGTTTTTAATTTAATTTTTTAAATTTTTTTTAATGAATATATTTTAAAATCTAATTTATTTCTGTGATGGCAAAGCTGAATTTTCAGTTTTTGGTGCTTAATATTTTTGTGCGAACCGTTATACACTTAGCATTCAAAAGCCATAAAAAATAAATAGTTGAAAAGTGACAATAAAGACAATTATAGCCTAATGTTACAAAAGATTTCTATTTGAAACAAATGCTGTTCTTTCGAATTTTCTATATATCTATATCATAAAGTCCTGAATTGCTTTTTATCATGATTTCCAAAAAATTATAATATAAAATTGACATTATTAATAACGGAGTATTAATAATAATTGAGCTCCAAATCAGCATATTAGAATGATTTCTGAAGGATCATGTGACACTGACGACTGGAGTAATGGCTGATGAGAATTCAGTTTAATTCAGAGTAAATTATATATATATATATATATATATATAGAAAACAATCATTCTAAATTGCAATAATATTTCTCAATATTCCAGCTTTTACTGTGTTTTTAATTAAGTAAATATAGCCTTGGTGAGCATGAGACTTTCAAAAACAATAAAAAATATCGCAATTATTCCAAACCTTTGACCAGTAGTGTATACAGTGACATTCCAGTCGATTACTAAAAAAACAAAAACAAACATTACATAAGACACACCACCAACCCACTGAACACAAGCGCACACTGACCGTGAGGACAGGCAGTTTTTGCTGCTCTTGCTGCAGCCAGTAAAGGTAACCGGTCCGTCGTCATAGAAACTGCCAAGGGCCAGCTTCTGCCTAATGGACTCTCTCTCATTCCTCTGGGCCTGACGAAAACACAGTCGACTTCAATAAATGAAGAGAACGCTCAGCATGTAGTAGGCCACAGAAGACCTCGCATCCAGGAATATTTGATGTGGTATTTTAAAATAGATGTCATCCACTATCATACAGCTACGGCTACTCAATGCTCGTGACAGAGTTTAAATAACGTGCTGGATTTGAAGGGCATGAAGGTATCGCTGTGGGAAAAGAGAGAGTGTGGATTGGAATTGGAATGTATGATATAAATTCTGATTTTGTGCATGTGGCGAAATCACCGCTGCCTCAATAAACGGCCAATTACAGAGACGAAGAGAAAAACGCAGAGGGACCCCGAGGCAGTACACGTGAAGGAAGAGCTCAGGCTTTTGATAACATTCCAGTTAAGCTATAAAAACGTAATTTCTAAATGTTCTCCGAAAACTTAAAAAAAAAAAATTCTTAGTTATGCCATTTTAGCATTTTGCAAACATTATGGGAATGTCACTTTTGATATGTTTTCTGAACATTCTGAGACCGGAAAAAAATATTTTTAATGTTACACAAACATCCAACTAAAACATTTCTGGAAAAAGTTCCACAAACTATGTATACATGTTTTTGTGCTAACATTTTGAGAACAGTATTAAAGCCGGGTAACTTTGAACAAACATTCTATTAATTTCCAGTTTGACCAGAACACTAGCCAAAGTTCTGATAATGTTCTCTGTTAGATGGGTAAATACAGAACTGCGTGACTATTCCCGATTATGCTATATTGGCAAGAATAACATGTTCTCTAAGATCTTCATATTACACTCAGTTCATTGCCATGGCAACACAGTTGCCTTCTGGTGCTGAATGACTAATACAAAAAAAAAAAAAAAATTATTTGAACTCAACACTGGAATAATTATAAGGCCTACTATTGTGAAAGTCAATAACTTTCCTTTACTAGATCTATGGAAATATTTTTCTCAGGTTGCATTTTCACTGAGATGAACATTTAGATAAAGGGACGCACAGAGTAGAAGAGAGGCTGATTCATGAAGCACTCAAAAATTACAAAGGCAATTGAAAAACATCAATAGCTCTGCTTGTGATGTAATATTAGCAATCTGTAAACCAGCTTTCCGGTACAATCTGAAAAACAGTAACAGCTAGATTCAATTGCTTTCATTAGTGGGAGATGTTGCCACTTCAAGCAAAAGCAGCCATCTATACAAACAAAAAAATATGACCTTGTGTGCGATGGGTTGAATTAGTTCCAATTCAAGCAGCACCTTTTTTTTCAGTTATCGTTGAACTAAATCTACAAGTATTTTAACATCCATCACTCAGTGTGTAACTTATTTCTTAGCATCACAAATTGAAATAAAAATCTGAAAGCCACCTAACAAGCAACAACTTTGTAAATATGAACAATACATTTACACACACTCATAAAAGGCACACCGATGCCACAACACTAATGCTACATAAGATATATTGACCTATCTTACCTGGTAAACACATTTCTCCTGGTGCACCATCTTTCAGCGCATTGTATAGTGCAGCAGCCAAGCCCTGCCTTCTACTGCAGTGTCTGAGCTACACCCTTGAGACCAGCATCACACACATGAAAGGAGGGGGGAGGAGGGAGTGCGTGTGCAAGCATGCTAAGGAGGAGCACAAGCATCTCACAATGAAACTCATGCACTAAAGAGGCAGTGAACTAGATCCGGGTTTTGGCATCAGTTTCATACTAGATGTTCCAATCTCACAAACCATTTCCCCACTGTGGCGTGTTCTCTACCAGCAGGTACCTTAGAGTCTTATTTAAACACAAAGGCTTAAATCACCTTGGATTAAAAAAAAAAAAAAAAAAAAAAAAGACACGGGCATTTGATCATATTTGATTTATTGAATGGTTTGAGACAATTAGGACAAAATTATGCACAAACCAGCATGTTCATGAGCAGGAATCACTCTGCAGTATTAGCATTAAATCAGGAGGCAATCTTTTTCAAAGCCACATGCAGCACATTACCAGCGTAATTCTAAGTATCTGGCCTCAGTCCTCATAACAAAACTTCATGGGAAAGAGTTGGGATGCGAAAAGTCCACAAATTGAAGCATGAAAGGGTTTTTTTCATAAAGTACAGAACTGGGAGGTATACATAGCTGGGGTGGCACATTGGGAGGCTGGTTGGCAGAGGGTTTGCATTCAGCAGCTGCAGTTGTAGTACAGGGTTGAGGAGTGGTGGTTATAGGCGGTGCAGTAGGAGTTTTGGGAGGCTGAACTGGGTATTGTGGATAAAACGCTTGCAAATAGGAAGGATAATCAGGGTAATAGCTATACTGAGGGAATAGACTTCCAGGGTATCCTGGGGGCTGCCGCGTCTGGGTTGCTGCTGGCGAGCCTGATGGGCGAGCAGTGGGGGTGGCTGAAGCTGGTTTCTCTGTGGGCTTTGGCCTGACAGGGTCATGAGGGTAGTAATAAGGCCAAGACATCTGGGGGTATTTGGGAGGTTGAGGCTTTTCAGCTGGTACTTGGGGATCCGATTCAGTGTTAGAGCCATCAGCTGGAACAGGTTTCAAAGTGGGTTTTGGGTCGCCATAAGGGTAACCAGGATAGTAATAAGGCCAAGACATCTGGGCGTATTTGGGAGGTTGAGGCTTTTCAGCTGGTGCTTGGGGATCGGATTCAGTGTTAGAGCCATCAGCTGGAACAGGTTTCTCAGCGGGCTTTGGTCTGCCATGATAGAGGTAATCAGGGTGGTAGTAGTGTGGCCAAGACATCTGGGGGTATTTGGGAGTTTGAGGCTTTTCAGGTAGTGCTTGGGGATCCGATTCAGTGTTAGAGCCATCAGCTGGAACAGGTTTCAAATTGGGTTTTGGGTCACCATAAGGGTAACCAGGATAGTGATAAGGCCAAGACATCTGGGGGTATTTGGGAGGTTGAGGCTTTTCAGCTGGTACTTGGGGATCCGATTCAGTGTTAGAGCCATCAGCTGGAACAGGCTTCAAAGTGGGTTTTGGGTCACCATAAGGGTAACCAGGATAGTGATAAGGCCAAGACATCTGGGGGTATTTGGGAGGTTGAGGCTTTTCAGCTGGTACTTGGGGATCCGATTCAGTGTTAGAGCCATCAGCTGGAACAGGCTTCAAAGTGGGTTTTGGGTCACCATAAGGGTAACCAGGATAGTGATAAGACCAAGACATCTGGGGGTATTTGGGAGGTTGAGGCTTTTCAGCTGGTACTTGGGGATCCGATTCAGTGTTAGAGCCATCAGATGGAATAGGTTTCAAAGTGGGTTTTGGGTCACCATAAGGGTAACCAGGATAGTGACAGGTTTCTCAGCGGGCTTTGGTCTGCCATGATAGAGGTAATCAGGGTGGTAGTAGTGTGGCCAAGACATCTGGGGGTATTTGGGAGGTTGAGGCTCTTCAGTTGGTGCTTTGGCAACTAGGGTAGTTGTAACAGGTTTCTCTGTTTGCTTAGCTATGGAATAAACCCTTCCAGGATAAAGATAATGAGGGAAAGGCCAAAACCCTTGCGGATATACTTGAGGGTACCAAGGAGGTGATGGTTTCAATGTTACAGTATCAGACGCTTGTGGCATTGCAGGTGCTTCTGGACTTGGTGTTTCAGGAGAAAAGGGAGGCAGCAGAATGTGCAGATATTCAGGAGGATGAGGTCCCAGGAAGGTTTCATCTGCAGTGGTAGAGGTCATAGGACAAGAAAGGTCTGCTGAGTTTCCCTGCCACTGTATCTGCATCACATAATACCCTTCCTGAAAGACATCATGAACATCCAGGTTGGTCTACATTACTCTGTTTTCATGCTAAATGGAACGGAGAAAGCAATACCTGTTGCACAACACCACATCCATCATAGGGAGTAGCATAAACAAGACCTCCATAAGTGAGTGTGGTGTGTCCACAGTGAGGTGGCAACTGAGTGAGAGGAACAGGCACCCCATTACCTGTGACATAAATAAAGGTATAAGGACTATTAGAAAACCATATGGAGTTCTATTTTTTATTGATGCATGTAAAGTCTAGGTGGGACAAGCAAATTAGTACAACTCTAAGATACCATATTTATATCAAACTCTTTAGTAAACGAATGCATAATGAATGTACAGGTTACCTCGACAGAGTTCAACATTTGCTACTTCTGGACCACTGAGTTTTAACTTCATAAGATCGTCGCCACACCTCAAATTTGGAGACATGGCATCCCAGGCTGCTTCAGAAGAACCGAGTAGTTGCCCTTTAATTAATGATTTCTTCTGAAGACCTATATATTTTTTAAAAATTATAATTTATAATTCTCGTGCATTCAAATGGACAAAACTTACGTATTTATATACCAATATTAAAACAAGCATTAATTACATACCTGAAACTCCAGCATCGTAACTAAGATGGTCAAAATCAGCTAAGGGCACAAAATTGTGGTCGGACATAAATTGTTCTGAAATATCGTCGCCACCTTCATCGTTCGTTTTTTCGGTTCCAGAAAACTGTTGCAGACTTCTGCAGTGTATTAAAGTAATGCATGTGAAAGAACTTAGTATAATTAACAACCTTCTCCTTATTTTCCAAGACGCCATTGTAGCGTATGCTCGTGAGTCGTGAAGCGTCTATTAAATACCGTGCGGTACCGCGCTGCTTTAAGCACTAGTTCCATAAATTAACGCGTGATTTAAAGGCAAATCACTTGTTCGCGGTCTCCGAAGTGCACAAAGGACCCTTTGAAGTGCATGAGACTCTCCACCTTTGCAGGATTTCCTAATTGGCCAGCAGATGTTTCTGATTGCCGCTTCATCGCATAGCAACGATGCGAGGGCACAGCTGCCACCCTGACAGGTTTAGTCATTAAAAAAAGTTCTGGAGCCAGCATTGCTCATATTTGTTTTAATATTTTATATTGTACTGGAGGAATGCTTCACCCCTGGGGTACCTCAGGCTTAGCCAAGACCGTGGCCAGGTAAGTTATATTGTTTTGCTGCGTCCTTGCCAGATTACAACTTTAAATGCAGGCATTGCGTTTGAACTGACTTGAATAATGTAATGAATGATACATATGAAAAAATACAAAATCATGCACATACATATATAGCAGTTCGAATGCTGACTGATATGTTACCAAGGTACGATTTTATAATAGTTTATTGTCATGACCATGGTGAACATATTTAGAAAGGTTTGCAGCCCTGATTTTAGGCAGTTATGTAACCATAAAAATAAAACTTTGAATAAATAAAAACAAATTATGCATTGTTCAGCTCAATGATCAGCGGCAGCTGTGACAGCTGAACAGTGCTCTGTATGGCCGGTGTTACGAGATTTTCGGTTTCCGAGATTTTCGGTTTCAGTGGGCGGAGCCAACATGAATATTCATGAGTTTCCCGGACATGCGCGTGGAACCAAGTGGAACTGAGAATTTCAGTTCACGCTCTTTGTATCTCGGCAGGTTTAATGGGATATTTTTAAAAAGGTAAATATTTTACAGCGTTGCACAAACCTATGCCTAAACTACATTTGTTCATCATTTTGTAACAGTTTATAATGTTTTCATTAGTTTGCACGGTTTGTGCAGTCGTCACTGACTGAATGATTGCAGACCTTCAGCACACTTAGTTGTAAATTACTTTGATTTCAGTTCGTTGTGCTGTAGCAATGCTTTAAAACTGTGTCTGTTGTTAGTTGTTTTCATTTAAATACAACAGCTATGAGAAAACAAATACTTCACTGCATTTAATGGAATGGAATAAGAAACTAATTTCATGTCAAAAAAAAAGTGTGCTTGTGCTTGTTTTGATATGATATGTAACGAATCAGCTCATGGGAAATATATGCTCCGCCCACTGAAACAGAAAATCTCGGAAACCGAAAATCTCGTAACACCGGTCCGAGTCCTTCGGATGCAGCCTTTGATATGGGTTGCAGCTGTAGTTAGCAACACTTCGTTAATATTCTGACAATAAATGTTATAGTTTCATTTTCAAAATGACCAGTGGTGGACTGTAACGAAGCACATTCGTTAAGTATTCAGTACAAATGTTAAGTAGGTTACTATGGGTTTTTTTCTCACAGCACAGCAGCACTATAAAAATATGGTCTTTTGATGCATTGTTGTAGATCAGGGGTGCCCAACCCTGCTCCTGGCGACCGACTGTCCTGCAAAGTTTAGCTCCAACTCTAATCAAAGACACCTGCCTTTAATTTTTAAGTGATCCTGAAGACCCTAATTAGTTGCTTCAGGTGTGTTTGATTAGGGTTGGAGCTGAACTTTGCAGGACAGTCGATCGCCAGGAGCAGGGTTGGGCACCCCTGTTGTAGATTAAACTGCCCAACAGTATATGAAGTAGGCTATTTTAAATGTAACAACCTTGAACATATTCAGAAGTACAATGTAACATATACACAGTAGTGCAGCAGTAATATTAATGCAAAACCATCCTGACGAATTCTTTTTCAGAACAATACTGAATATCTTTACTTTTACTCTCAATACCTTAAGTAGCCTACATTAGATTATGCAAGATAGCCTAATACTTTCACTTAAAGGATAGTTCACCCAAAAATGAAAATTCTGTAATCATTTACTCACCCTCAAGTTGTTCCAGATTTGGAATTTCTATCCTATCCTTTTAACTAAGGTTTTAAATATGACTAGTAGTTTTTCCCCAATGTGGTATTAGTAGTTACTAAAAGTAATTTACTAAAGTACCTCAATATTTCTTCTACTAATTACTTTGTCACCACTCTAAACAATTTCTCTTTTCCTTCTTTCCCTAAATCAAACCAGACCCCTGCAGGATAAAGCTGAATGTGTCAGTGCTGGACAGGTTTTTTTTAAACTGTTTTTGGCTGAGCAGGGAGGCCCTGACAGTGCTGCTGGATCTTCTGAGAAGTGAACGGCAACACGGATGAGGTGCCACGATCCAGACCCTGGTGTTTCTTTTCTGTCTGGCCAGTGGTACATCATACAGAGTGGTCTCCAGAGTGTTTGACATGCCTCGTTCCACTGTCCTCCGAGTCGCTGAGGAGGTGGTGGCCATTCACCACCAAGTAATTAACCTCCCGAAGACCCGAGAAGACCTGGAGGCAGGGCAGGGCTCAATATTGATGTTGTTTTTCTGATGTTAAACCTAAGCTATCTAGTAAATAGTTGTAAAAGTACTTTCAGTAATATATAGAACAATTTGTTTTAATGTGTAAAAAAAAAATATTTACAGGACAAAAAGTAAACGTATAGAAGAATGTTTTGTGAAAAAATTATAAGCTGCATTAAAAAATTAACAATGTACATAATCACTACTTTTATTTACACATGTGAATATCCAAAACAATAAAGCAAAATGTACAGAAAGTACTCAACAAATAAATTACTCTACAAAAATGAATGATGTATACAACTTATTCATTTCATTTTTTAACGTGCATCACAAAAATAAACTACAGAAATCGGGTTGTTTCATTGCCAATGTGAAATTCCAACACTCATGCATTTGTAGCCATTTCCAATATGACATTTAAAAAAAAAAAAAAAATATTGAAAAATTGTACTGTACCCATTTGTCCACTGTTTTCTCTTGGCTAATAAATCATTTATTTGTTAACCATTCTTTCAAGAAGAGAAAACGGTCTCTCCGTTCTCTCCTCTGTCTCTCTCTGGAGTTTGATGTCCTCCCTGAGTAGCTCCACCAGCTTCCACTCACTCCCTCACCTGTCCCAGGACACTTGCAATCCTAAGGCAGAGCAAATAAACCATGCCTGTTAACAACAACAGCACAAAGAATTTCAGCAAAAATCTCTCTATCAACTTGCTTACTTTGTATTTTTTAAGTCCTTCCCCAGCAGGCTCATTTTCTCCAGAATAGTCCTAAAACAAGAGAAAATGGAAACACTTATGAAAAATATAAAGACAGGTTTGCAATCTTAACATTAGAAAATTTGACACAGCAGCACATGCATACAAAATACTTAAGTGCTAAAGTTTGGTTAAAACATTTGTAGACATATCTTGAATGACAGCACTACAAAAACACAACAAAGGGAAAGACTATTGCCTTATGGTTGTCTTATTGTTTGTGGGCTTTGTGTAAAAAACCCTAGCTGCGTCCCAAATGACACGCTATATGCACTTATACACTATATACTTATGCACTATGTACTTAACCATGTATAGTAGGAATTATATAAGGTTATTTTGTCATTCATAATCAGAGTCTCATAGCCCCTCCCCCCTCGGTACACAATTAAAGCTGCGACAATTGAGTTCATGAAGTGTCCAACATTCCACACTTCATTTTTTTCGGTTATTTAAGTGCATCATCCGGATATTTAAAGTGCACTTTTTCCTTTTGGAATTTTCAGTGTGAACGCACTACTCGCACTATTTATACTACAAAACGTCGTAGAATAGTGCACAAGTATGCAATTTGGGACACACCTCCTGGCTTTTAACACTTGTTTCGACTGGGATATGGTAGGGTGCGAAGTGTCCATCAGATGTACACTTCATTTTGAAGTCGCTTTCGAATTACGTCAGTCTTCGTCGCGCTGCGGTGACACAATCGGCCTTGGAATGCGGGGCTTTGTGTAAAAAACCCTAGCTGCGTCCCAAATGACACGCTATATGCACTTATACACTATATACTTATGCACTATGTACTTAACCATGTATAGTAGGAATTATATAAGGTTATTTTGTCATTCATAATCAGAGTCTCATAGCCCCTCCCCCCTCGGTACACAATTAAAGCTGCGACAATTGAGTTCATGAAGTGTCCAACATTCCACACTTCATTTTTTTCGGTTATTTAAGTGCATCATCCGGATATTTAAAGTGCACTTTTTCCTTTTGGAATTTTCAGTGTGAACGCACTACTCGCACTATTTATACTACAAAACGTCGTAGAATAGTGCACAAGTATGCAATTTGGGACACACCTCCTGGCTTTTAACACTTGTTTCGATAGGTATTTGAGTAAATGAAAACACAATACTTACATTTCAATGTGAATTCCCCCAGAGAACATCCTCATGTTCTTTGAATATAAATTCCATCGTCATCTGTGCGCAAGTTAGGGTGACCATACGTGCCATTTTCCCAGGACGCGTCCTGGCCAGGATTTGTTTTGGCTTTGTTTTCCTGTTTTCATGCTTGCTGAAGGTAATGATCGAAAAGTAGTTTGACCAATAACATGCAAGCATTGTACATAATGGACCAATCATGGCGTGTGAGAAGGTGGGATCTACGGTCAAAGCGATGCAATTACGCGTACATATTAGGTGTGTTCGACTTAAAAGCAGCACGGCTCAGACCGATCAGTGTTTGACATCAAAGTACCTCGAGAGCGTTTCGAAAGCATAACCGTCTGTATGATACTTTGATGTCATACACCGATCGGTCTGCACACGCAAACAAAGCCAAAACCTAGATATTTTAGGCAATATAGAAATCCTGGCCAGGACCCGTCCTGGGAAAATGGCACGTATGGTCACCCTAGCGCAAGTGATTCTGGGATATGGTAGGGTGCGAAGTGTCCATCAGATGTACACTTCATTTTGAAGTCGCTTTCGAATTACGTCAGTCTTCGTCGCGCTGCGGTGACACAATCGGCCTTGGAATGCGGTCTTCGGAGGGTGCATCCTGCAATCGCACTTCAAAAACGCACTTCGGAGTCCGCACACTTCACATTGGGACATAGCTATTGTCTGGTCTGCGGTTTCCTAGGCTGTGTTTGAAATGGCATGCTTTCCTACTGCTTACTGCCCAGTACACAGTGCATACTGTTTTTTAAAGAATAGTGTGTGAAACAGTAGTCTATACAATAAGTAACAAGTGTTTCAGAGTAGTATGTTAAAGTGTTGTCACATGACAAACACTGAACATTAATTCAGCACAGCTGTCGAGGTTGTTACCTTACAAATAAAAGTGCTAACCATTCTTTTTACAAAGGCTTGTATAAAAGCAATACAATTTAAGAGAGAAAAAAGAATTAGGGCAAATGAAATTATGAATAATTTACTGCCATTGTGTGAAAAATATGTAATCATGTAATCTATAAAAGAGTAATCTGTTAATGAGCATTTTAAAATGTAATGTAATCTACAAGTACTTAATTTTTGGAATCTGATTATCTGATTACATGTCCAGATTACATGTAATCAGTTACCAGCACTGTGTGTGTGTGTGTGTGTATACACAAACACTCACACACTCACACAAGCGCACACACAATTTTCACAGCATCTCAAATTATGTGCTGAACTTGTTAAAATTCTGTGATGGACATTTAATTTAGGTACATACAACTCAAACAAATACAGTACAAACATATAGTGAGAGAAAACATTGAATTATTTACAAACATACTAGCTGTGTAAAGATTTATACCAAGACACAAGTGCAACAGTGTGCTTCTGTTTTGACACTCAGGTCTGCCTGAACACTATACGGTCTCCCACAGCGTTTGATACAGGCTGGACGACTCCCCTAAGAGCTCTCAAATTTCCATGGATACCATCAACACACACATACCTTCAATGCACTGCTGTGGAACAATCCAGCTGAGTCTAAACATTCTTCACCTCATAGGTTTGACCATTATTCAGAAGATAAAGTGTGACAGAGGAATAAAAATATCTCATATACTCATATATTTTCTCTACTCAAGGAGAAAAAAAAGTGTGATATATAAGAAACTGCAGGTAAAATATAATCTGGATCATTGGAATAGTGAACATATACGCTCCCAGGAATACCTGTGTGATATGGAAAATCAAAAGAGAACTTTTCAGCAAGGTGAGCATATCAATTCGTCATCTTTTGCAGAATTTGTTTTGAATTTAGTGTGTAAGTTGTTTGGCAGAAACATTAAGATTTTGTGTTGTTTTTTTTTAAGTTCTTAAACTTTTTTTTATAACTCAGTGTGATATGATTGAGCGATTTAATGATATTCTGATTTTAGGGCACCTAACTAAAATGAAAATAATACGACCTGATGTGTATCACAGAAAATACTATAGCAGTTCTAAGAATTACATCTATATTAATGTTGTTTTTCACTTTGTCAGATGCTGATTTGGCAGTGATGGATTCAGAGATTGGAACACTCCTAAATTATATCGATTTTGTAAGAACCATTTATGATATTTCCAGACATATTACATTGTGGAAACTTGTACTTTTTAATCTTTTTATACGGATATCACTTAAACTGAAAAAATAAAATAAATAAATAAATAATGGTGCAGAGTTTGAAACAGTTTTCACTCAGAAATTGCTGGTAAATTTTATAATGATAAAAAAACTGCATATAACATTGAATTAAACATGACATTTTGAAGTATAAAGACTGAAATAGTACTTATTTTCTAAAACATACTCCAATAATCTGTATTTACAATTTTTTTTTTTTTACAGTGTACCAAATTTAAGTACAACAAGAATACAGGTTCTGCTTTTAGTGTTTAAAAAAATGAATGCCTTTTCTCTTAACCTGTTCACCCTTATGGTCTTGCCACACTGTTTTCTGTACTGTCCAGCAGATGGAGCAGGAGTATTTTCAGACGTTGGAATCCTCACCAGATCTCTGTCATGGGCTTCCAGGACTTCTAAGATACAAAAGAGAGTCCCAGGAAAGGACGTACAGTCCTCAGGTAGCCATTCATTTGGTCACTGCCATGGTAAAAGTGTAACATTTATAAAATTGTTGATTTTTATCAAAATAAATAACTTGTTTTTCAGTGTTGGGGAAAGTTACTTTTAAAAGTAATGCATTTCAATATTGCGTTACTCCATAAAAAAGTAACAAATTATGTTACTTAGTTACTTTTTATGGACTTATGTAACTCGCGTTACTTGTAATGCGTTACCCCCAACACTGTTGTTTTTACCCAGCCCCAACAGCAACTGGACTCTCCAATATGCTGTCAGTTCTGTGGTTCGAGAGCTTGGCCGCCTCTGGATCCGGTTTATGCAGAGACACGAGAGGTTCGTCTCTTGAGAAAGAATGCAGCTGACACTAACACTTACTGCTTCAGCACTTTTTTTCCCCTTGAGTTTATGATCGTCTAATTGGACTTCAGGACTTCTGCTGTGAGAAATACAGAGAGTTGTTTGAGATTGTGGTCCATGAAAAGCATCTAGCTATGAAACGTTCTGATGCAAGGCCTAGTGGACCTGCTCGACTAGATGACCCCTTCATCACTGAGGATGAAGAACTACAAGATAAAGCACAAGAAAGAGGAAAACGCAGGTTTGTGTTGTACAATACACTTATGTTCTGGCATCAGTTTTTTTTTTTTTATAAACTTATAACCTTATTTAACAAGGATGCAGTGAATTGATAGTGACACAGTAAATATGGTCCCTTCATCACTGAGGACGAAGAACTACAAGATAAAGCACAAGAAAGAGGAAAACGCAGGTTTGTGTTGTACAATACACTTATGGTCTGGCATCAGTTTTTAAAAAAAAATAAACATAACTTTATTTAACAAGGATGCAGTGAATTGATAGTGACACAGTAAAGATGGCAAACTGACAGGAAATACATTTATAAACTTACAAAAGATTTCTATTTTAAATAAATTCTGTTCTTCGTTTCCTTAAAAACTTGTCTCAAGGCCACTGCAAATAACATAATAGACATAATAGACCTTTTTCAAAAACATTAAAAAAAAATCTTACATACTGACATGGCATATAGGCTACTTTGTTGTAACTTAATCATATTATGAAAATGCTAAATATGCTTTCACAGATTTAAATGATTTTATTTACTTGTTTATTCCCACCTTTGGCTTAGTTTCAGACAGCAGCAGAGAGAGATGCAGAGATATGACAGAGATGCTCACTCCAGTTTATTGGCATCAAACAACAGTGAGTATCCACATGTGTTGGACAGGATGCCCATGGATGGACCATTAACAAAAAATGCTAAATTTTGTCATTATTTACTACCTGTTATACAATAAAACATCACAATAAAAGCATAACAAAAGTGGTCCATATGACTATATTCTATAAATCTGAAGTCGTACAGTAAATTTGTGTGGTAAACAGACACAAATTTGGATTAGTTTTAGTGATGTCTGATTCAGGACTTCTTCAGTGAATAAGATGATAATATGAAATATATTTTAAAAAAATTTAAAGTGCCCCTATTATGGATTTTTTTTAAATTACATTTCATGCAGTGTGTAACACAGCTCTAAGTGAATGAACACATCCTGCAAAGTTTTAAATCTGAAAGTATATTAAATTACATTAAATCTCTGTGTATAAAGTTATTACAGAGATGCTCACTCCAGTTTATTGGCATCAAACAACAGTGAGTATCCACATGTGTTGGACAGGATGCCCATGGATGGACCATTAACAAAAAATGCTAAATTTTGTCATTATTTACTACCTGTTATACAATAAAACATCACAATAAAAGCATAACAAAAGTGGTCCATATGACTATATTCTATAAATCTGAAGTCGTACAGTAAATTTGTGTGGTAAACAGACACAAATTTGGATTAGTTTTAGTGATGTCTGATTCAGGACTTCTTCAGTGAATAAGATGATAATATGAAATATATTTAAAAAAAATTTAAAGTGCCCCTATTATGGATTTTTTTAAAATTACATTTCATGCAGTGTGTAACACAGCTCTAAGTGAATGAACACATCCTGCAAAGTTTTAAATCTGAAAGTATATTAAATTAAATTAAATCTCTGTGTATAAAGTTATTGTCTTTCAAAAAAAAAGAGTCGACTCTGAATCATTGAAACAAGCCGTTTTTAAAACTAATCCCAAGCCTTTTCATGTTGACGTCAACATGAAACATTAGCATATTGCCCGCCCAAATTTATTCTGTGCCACTAGGTGCCGCTTTAGGAGCGGTAAAAATAGCGGTTTCCCCGGTAAGGTGTACACAAAGCAGCACTGCGCTCACAAACGATGCTTTATCAGGCATTAAAGGCAAGATGAAATGAAAATGAGACCAATCGGACCAATCACCGCAGATTAGCGTCACGCAAAG